CAGACACACCCTACACAGACTTGCTTCATGTCATCAGTTGATCTTCACACACACTACTCGTATCAGGTACAAACTTCCCACTGCAATATCTTATATGTTTCACTTTTGATGTCTAACCATATGAGTTGTCCCTCTGAAAGATAATGCTACCGGAAGCAGTAGCAATCGTGATGGCTCCCACAGACGAGTCAACACCTCACGGGATATTCCATCTTTCGGATCCATCGGGAGTATCAGTGATCCGTAACTGTCAGCAGCGAGGCTTCCACCCGCACGAAGAAGCAGAAGACGGCAGCCCAATCTACGAGCATTGCTCTCACGTCTTCCTCAACGCCAAGCTCAAATACGAAGTCCTTGACCTCCGCTAAAACCATATCCTCAACCCAATCACAAGCCTGCGTTTTTTTGTTTTCCTTTCAGATTGTCTCAGCCGTGCATAATTTATGTGTATACTTGTTAAAAACCTACTACTAATGATTGTGCTATATTATATTTACCGAAAAAACCAATATATACTTTAAAATTCGTATTATATACTATGCAGACCCTAGTTTGCTATAAATATATATTTTTAAGAAACAAAAATATAAGTTATGTGTTGCTGGATTTATAAACGAAATGGATTACTTTTTTATATCAAAATTACACAAAATTGATTTTTTGATTATTCAAATTCATTTATGAATTTGAATTGTATTGTAAATTTTGGTCATTTAAAAATAATACAGAAATTCAAAAGAAAATCTAAAATGTATAAATATTAATTACAATACTCATTAAACTCTATAAAAATGCGAAAAGAATTTATAATTACAGATCATTTATCAATCATTATTTAACAAACCAATAAATGAATAAAGCAAATCAATAATTTTCCTCTTTTCTCGTCCCCCCCTCCACTTCGTCTAGGGTTTACCCTCTCTCTATCCGCCGATTCTATACATACACTACTCTCTCCTTGTCTCCTCTGTTAGTTACTTTCACTCACCCGCACAGAGCAACAAGAAAAAATAAGAAGGAGATTCCGATTAACTGTAGCCAGCCATGTCTCTGAGACCTAACGCGAGGACGGAGGTTCGCCGTAACCGTTACAAAGTGGCGGTGGACGCCGAGGAAGGACGCAGGAGGAGAGAAGACAACATGGTGGAGATCCGTAAGACCAAGCGTGAAGAGAGCTTGCTTAAGAAGCGTCGCGAAGGTCTCCAAGCCTCGCAGCTACCTCAAGTCGCTTCCGCTGCTTCGTCCGTTGAGAAAAAGGTAGAATCAAAACACGGATCTGGAATCTAATCGATTTCTAGGGTTTTTTTTTGGTATTGGTAACTGATTAGATTCGTTTTGATTGATAGTTGGAGAGCTTGCCTGCTATGGTTGGTGGAGTTTGGTCAGATGATAGGAGCTTGCAGCTTGAAGCGACTACTCAGTTCCGTAAATTGCTTTCTATAGGTATAGGTTTTGAGTTCTTGAAGGTTTGATTTGGCTCTGGAGCTTCTTGAATTGAATCTTTGGTTTGGTTTGGTTTTGGCAGAGCGTAGTCCTCCAATTGAAGAGGTGATTGATGCTGGTGTTGTGCCAAAGTTTGTTGAGTTTCTCATGAGGGAGGATTATCCACAGCTTCAGGTTTGGTGGATCTATTTTGTATCTCTGTTAGATTTGCTACAATTATGATCTAAAGTTTATACTCTGTGTGTGTGTGTGTGTGGAATCAGTTTGAAGCTGCTTGGGCATTGACAAACATTGCTTCTGGGACTTCAGAGCATACTAAGGTGGTTATTCAACATGGTGCTGTTCCGATTTTTGTCCAGCTGTTAGCTTCCCAGAGTGATGATGTCCGTGAGCAGGTGGGTCTTGTGTTGATATAATCTCTGGTTAACTTTTTTTTTTTTTGTTGTATTAAGTTCTAAATGTTTTCTTTTCATTGTTCATGTGTAAGGCTGTTTGGGCATTAGGGAATGTTGCTGGTGATTCTCCACAGTGCAGAGATCTTGTCCTAGGTCAGGGAGCTTTGTTACCGTTGCTCTCTCAGTTGAATGAGCATGCTAAACTCTCCATGCTGAGAAATGCTACTTGGACCCTCTCTAATTTCTGCAGGGGCAAGCCACAGCCTCCTTTTGACCAGGTTTGTCTCTCGTTTCAGTTTTTATTTTCTTCCTCATTGATCAAGGAAGATTTTTTTTTAAACATCTGTGTTTTCTCTTAAGAACAGGTTTCTCCAGCACTTCCAGCCCTTGAACGCCTGATTCACTCCACTGATGAGGAAGTGTTGACAGATGCCTGTTGGGCTCTCTCTTATCTTTCTGATGGCACCAACGACAAAATCCAATCTGTCATTCAGGCAGGTGTTGTTCCTCGACTTGTCGAGCTTCTCCAGTAAGTCTTTTCAGTTCTGTGATTGACATTGGTTTTGTACATGATTGTGTGTTAATAAATATCATTGGATTTTGGCTTGCTGTAGGCATCCATCACCTTCTGTGCTTATTCCTGCTCTTCGTAGTATTGGTAACATCGTCACTGGAGATGATGCACAGACCCAGGTATACCTACTCTTCTATAGTTTAATTCATTTATATCCGTATGCATCTTCCACTCTTCCTAGAACTGTTCTGGAAAGAATGTGACACCACTAACATTGTGATAATGACTATTGGCTGTCAAGTGTAACTTGCATAGCTTCCTGCTACGCATCACATAAATCACCTTGAGAATATTAGGTTTACCTCCGGAATGATATCTATCATTCGTTTAATATTTGGTCGAGGCATCTTTTTACATAGCTACTCTAGCACAAAGCATCTCTCAGTTAGTGCATGATTTCTGGTGTCCTGCCTCTTTTGTGTCTACGCGGTCATCATAATCATTCTTTTAAAGTTATAATATTCTCGTGACTAAAACATTTAACGAGTACGTTGATAGTTTTTTTTCTTTTTGTTGGTTCTGACGTGATGAGAATTTCTGCTGCAGTGTGTAATTAGTCATGGTGCACTCCTTTCTCTTCTGAGCCTTCTGACTCAGAACCATAAGAAGAGCATTAAAAAAGAAGCATGCTGGACAATCTCAAACATCACTGCTGGAAACAGGGACCAGATTCAGGTTAACTTTTTCAGAAGACTGATGTTTTTTTTGTTCAGCTTATTATTGGTTTGAGAAGGTTTTGGTTGTTTGAAGAAAGAGTTTCTGTATGTTTATGTTGCTCTAATTTTCAATGTAGGCTGTATGTGAAGCTGGTTTGATTGGCCCTCTCGTCAATCTGCTTCAAAATGCAGAGTTTGATATAAAGAAAGAAGCTGCATGGGCAGTATCGAATGCCACTTCGGGCGGTTCAGCTGACCAGATCAAGTAAGCTTATTTGATACCACCATCCCCATCTTATCTCGATCTCGACTCTGTTAAAAAAATTTGTTAGCTCTTATTCAAACGATCACTTTCAAATTTCTCCTTTTTTTTGCGTGCCGTTTAGGTACATGGTTGATCAAGGAGTCGTGAAACCACTGTGTGATCTTTTGGTTTGTCCGGATCCAAGGATTATCACCGTGTGTCTAGAAGGACTAGAGAACATTCTGAAAGTCGGGGAAGCTGAAAAGGTGACGGGCAACACAGGGGATGTAAACTTTTATGCACAGTTGATTGATGATGCTGAGGGACTAGAAAAGATTGAGAATCTGCAGAGTCACGACAACAGCGAGATTTATGAGAAGGCAGTGAAGATTCTTGAAGCATACTGGTTGGAAGAGGATGACGAAACTTTAGCACATGGTGATGAATCTGCTCAGGGATTCCAGTTTGGGGGTAGCGAAGCAGCCGCACCTCCAGGTGGATTCAACTTCAAGTGAAGGTATAAACACAATACTCAAATACTTGAGGACTGAACTGATACTGTTAAAGAGCATCCTCAAAGCATAGACTAGGTAAAAAGTAGAGTCTGTCTTCGTGTAATTCTTTGAGTCTGGTTTTGTTTCAACAGGAGCTAAGGCATGATGATTGAAGAGTCGAAGGAGGTCAAGAGTCTTTGGGGGCACTGGTTTTTATGGGGTCTGATTAGAGTCTGGTCTTGTGTTTTAAAAGTCAGATGGTGGTGCCTTGGTCTGTCCTGATCTTGTCTGGTCAGAAGGTGGGATCGAGTCATAAAATAAGCTTTGTTTGGGGAGTTGGGTAGGAGTCAATGAGAGGGGAATATTTTATGAACTAAAATGGGAAAAATTTGGGTGGGATGGGGTTTTATAGTTTTGTGTTTTGATGAGTCTCTGGAGCCTTTGCTACATTTGTTTACTACTACACAACACTCATTGCAAAGTCAAAAAAAAAACATAAAAAGTTGGTCAAACTTTATTTGGTCTCTTTGGTGGCAAAGAAAGCCCACTTGGTGCGTCTCTTTATTTGTTAATATTTTTTTTTAAGATCTGTTTTCCAGTGCGGTCCAAGTCATGCTGGGCTATTGTTGTCTGCATATGCACGCTTTTCTATATATTATATTTGCAAATGTCTTCTCTTTTCAAAGTCTGTCCATAAATCGATGTTATTAATGCTTATTATCGTCAACTTCGATTAAGTGTAGGAGTTATATATTCTAATAATTTTGTGTTCAAAGTGGAAAGTCTGTCGTTAAGGCATTATTATAAAAGATCATACTTTTAATATTATATACTTATTCGAATTGAAACATGGAAAAACTGATAGAACATGGTGTGCAATGTTTATTTCGATTTAAAACTGTATCAGTTGTAACTTGTAAGTTGTAACAATTCTTTCATTTCGCTTGTAGAATGTAACAGAATGTGTAAAAAGACAGCTGATGAGAATGCATGTAAGCCCAACTTGGCAATTGGCAGACAGATCGGACAACTGTAAATTCTGTAATAAATTTGTGCGCCACAATTTGAAAATAATTCAAATTTAATTTATTTTCGTAAGGTTTACAAATGTTGTAAAATCCAATTTTCCCTCGTCTTTTCTTGTTTGTTTAATTTTTGGCGGGTGGCTCCATGGAAATAAAATCCCCCGCGCGAGGGCAATCAAGTAACTAAAAAATGGAAAGCTAGGGTTTTTTAGTCCCCGCCTCCTCCGTTGTTATAAAAACCATCTCAGTTTGTTTAATTCGTTATTCCCTTGCGGCATCTTTCTCTCTCTTCCTTATCATCATCCATCACACTCTCTCCCTCTCCTTCACAAGCAGAGATTTCTCATTTCAATCGCTTCAGTGATTCTTTCAGCTAAGCCAAAGAGCTTCCTGTTTCTATACCAATGTGAGTTTTTCTGTGATCGCTTGATTCTTACAGGTCGATCACGTTGTTGTACTGATATTCTCTTGTTTCTTTTTGAATCATTAGATGTCAATGACGGAAGAAACAAAGACGATGTCTAAGCTCGAATCGGCGGGAGATTCCTCCGATGTGGAAAGTGGTAACTGTAGCAGTAGCGGAAGTGGAGGCGACACGAAGAAGACTTGCGTTGATTGCGGGACAAACAAGACTCCACTTTGGCGTGGTGGCCCTGCTGGTCCTAAAGTAAGATCATCATCCTCTCCTTCAAGTTTCCAACTTTTTGTTCTTTCATTTAGATCTATTCAGAAGGGTACTTTAGTAAATTCAATGTTGGCTGATCTTTTATGATCAGATCATTTAGGTAGATGTGGATTGTGTAGTTCTCTTGTAAGAGATGTCTTGATCATAGAAGAACAGAGCTTGATGGTTTCACTTTACATTCTCTGGTCTGATCAAGTTTTTCTTTATGCAGTCGTTGTGCAATGCGTGTGGGATCAAGAGCAGGAAGAAGAGGCAAGCAGCTCTTGGAATCAGACAAGATGATAATAATAAGGTCAAGAACAAAAGCAACAACAGTTTTGCTTCCGATCACCAGACGATCAAGGGCCGAAAAGGCGAGACAGGAAACGTCAAGAGCAACAAGATCAAGACAACGGAGAGTGAGAATTTCATCAGTAGAGTTAACAAGAAGAGTGTGGAAAGGGCAAGTAGGTTTTTGGATTTTGGGTTTAAAGTGCCAGCGATGAAGAGATCGGCGGTGGAGAAGAAGAGGCTGTGGAGGAAACTAGGCGAAGAGGAACGAGCAGCTGTACTTCTTATGACTCTTTCTTGTGGTTAAGTTTTGTTTCCCAGCTTAACTTTTTTTTGTCTGAATGGTTTGAGAGAGATTAGGGCAAATAAGTTAACATAATATAAATATGTAATCCTGTCGGAATTGTTTTTAGGTCCAAGCTAATGTTATGCTATTTTACTAATTACATACTTAATTATTTCTTCGGTCTAACATAGTTAGCTTGTTTACTTTAAATCAGATTATAAAACATGCTACTTGGGGTATTTTTAGCCACTTACTAATGATAAGTATTTTATTACATCTGTGGACAAATATAAACATGGTCTCGGCTTTTTTCGTTTGTCAATGATTTAGAAAGTGAATTTGAAAATTTGAATGTTTTTGTTTTTCAAAATCCCCCAAAAATAAATAACAGCTGTTCCCTCTAATCTCTCGTACAACTCGATGTGACCCCATATGGACTTGCTCTTGGAGCGCGTGAGATCAGAAAGGGACAGCTATAAAACAGCTCACGCCTTTTGGGCTTATGTTGGGGGTGAAATGAGGGGTGATGGAGACAGCCCAATCCACGCACCTCTCTCTCTCTTCTCATTTTCAGTAGATTCTTTTTTTCTGATTTTCATACCCCACTTTTTTTTTTCACATACAATAAAAGGTTATACCATTTGTTAATGGCTTAGTCTACATATAGTCAGGCCCAGCCCATCATCAAGTTCGAACACGCTACAGTGTATCCAATTAGTTTGAGGTGTTTTGCACTAAAAAAAATCCTTTACATATGAACATAATTTGGCGTCTCAAGCATCAGTTTCATAAGTGGATCGAAAAATCAAGGGAAATCAAATTACCAATCAACAAAAAGGAAATGACGACTTGTTAATTTGAGGCTCGTTGTAGGAAACAGAAAAAGATTATGTGTTCACATAAGCAAATCAAGGCATAAGTGTAAGAAGGGTTGCTAAATTAGTGGGAATGAAATATTATAAAAGCTAATAGAATTCAGTAAAATAGCCTAGCCAGAGTGTTTTGCTCTTCGTCCCATGATCTCTCTGCTCTGAACCAAGGTTAAGGTTTTATTTCTACACAAACTTTTCTTCAAGATCAGATGGATATTTCCTAAAATATGTGCATCTTTTTAACCAGAAGTTCAAATTACTTTAAAACGGTTTCATATAAAACTTAATTCAAATGGTTCTACTTATATAGTACCAAAAATCATCTAAACATGAATATTGGAAAGGCTCCGTCTGAAGTTTAATTTAACTACAGCAATTATGCCTTTCTTGACACTACACACAGCAAGTCAGCAATTATGCCTAACTACTGAAATTTGCATTTTTGAATTTTTAGAGGTTTGGTTGGTATTGTTAACTTCAAAACCTGTTCATATCATTATGCGTTCAATTAGAGTGTCAACATCAACAACAAAAATGTTTTAAAATTAAACAGCAACTGACATTGGATGCTTGTTGAACATGTAGTAGACCCAAAATCATTTATAGCGGTTTTGATTTTTTCGAATTACAAAAATAAGTTTCAATATCCAGTAGTCCTATTGTACTTCTCTACATCATCTCTTCCTTAAGCAAAGACTCATTTCATTCGTTAATAATTTATATTTTAAGGAAAAAATGCTTTTGTTCATTTTAACCATACTATATAGCATCAAATAGTTTGTTGAAACTTAAGTAAAATTCAAAATAGTGGCAACCCCCATTTATTTATTTTTTACTATTATGCAAAAAAAAAGAGAAGAAAAAAACTACATTCATAGAAATTTTAAAAGAGATGCAAGTACAAATATATATTCCTGCTTGTTCAAGCAAAAAGCAGTAGAAAAATGGAGAAACATTATTCACCGTTTTGAATAGCATTATGAGCTCTCATGCATAGTAATCTTCTCTGCAAAGAGACAAGAGTTTCTTGTTGTTACAAGTAACCTCTATCATCTTCTTTAACCTGTATTATTCATACTCAACAGAAACAAAGACAAAAAAACTAAGACAAGTGAAAACCAGTAAGAGAAACTTGTTTTCGCAACGGATCCTGACAATACAACAGATTGCGGCGGAGGGTTGTAGTAGTAAAACGGAAAGTAAGGAACGATCGGGTTCGGCGGCGGCGTAAAAGGGTAGTTTCCTCCACTTTTAGGCGGTGGATAAACGTAACCACCACCTCCGGAGGAAGACGGTGGTGGACGGTAAGAGGTAGACTGAGAAGGAGGTGGGTAGTAGTAGTAAGGACCACCACTACTACCACCGCCGGAGCTAGGAGGCGGAGGACATGCGGTGGTGGTGACTGGAGGTGGTGGAGATGGAGTAGGTGGTGGAGGAGAGGGATTTGGCTGACAAGGATTGTCACAAGAAGTGCACATTGTACAGTCAACGATCTGAGAGTTTGCGGACGTAAGCGTAGTGTGTGTTGTGAAGAAGATAAAGTGAGAGAGAAAAAGGAAGAGATGGAATGTTCGGAATGTTTCCATTGTCGAAATGAATCTGGAGTTCGTGTTTGGTGAGAGAATCTGAAAGTGAACGAAGCGAATTTGAGGAAGGAGAGAGAGGAAGAAGACAAAGAAGTGAAGAAGCATACAAGTGTTAGAGTGAAGCAGAGGAACGTGTAGATTGTTCCCGATATACTTCCCTTTATTTCTCACTATTTGTTTAGATTAACATTTTTTATACTGAAGTTTACCTTTAACAAAAAAAAAAACTGAAGTTTACGAATATGTTTACGTCAAAAAGAAATTTTAGTATTATTTTATTATAATTTTCTTTTTATTTTTAAAGTTGAAGAACTCCGTTACTGAAATTTAATTTGTCCATTATAAGAGATTTGATGCAAGCCATAGTCCACTACAGCATTATGTAACCACGTGATTTACCAAACCTTTGTACACTACAAATCATCGCTCTCACGATACTACCTTTCGATATATTCGGTCACACTATTTACCCGTTTTTTAACAAAAACTTTGTTGATACGGATATATACTATGAAAACAAGAGAAAGAAGTAACGAAGACAGAAGCTCTAATCTGCTCAAGAATTTCTTTTTCTAAAAAACAGCTAAAAGTTGTATAGTTTCGACGTTGGTTACTTCAACTAAAATTCTCTTGCATTTTGCATATGGTGAACATTGATGAATGTGAAAAAGGACACGTGGAAGAATAAGGACGGTTCAGTGAAAGAAGCTCATAGACTCATAGTCATAGGATCCAATGAGAACGCGTAAGAATGGAAGTGAGCACATGAATCATGTCGGTAACTCGTTTATCAGTACACGTAATTAATAAGTGCCTTCTCATATTGTTCGGATCTCTGCTCTCTTCTTCTTTTAATGTTGTCTGAACAAACTCAATTAAGATCCTCAATTAATTAGGAGTCTGTAATATTACTACTGGTCAGATGTGAAGCTTAAAACCAGTGAATAATGACCCAAAAAAAGTTTGGTGAGCTTAGGTTTTTACATTTAAATACTATCATCATTAAGAAAATGATTTTAGAAAGGCAAAGAAAAAGTGATAATTTGAGAGCAATAAAAAAGAGAAAAGATCCTTGGGTACCGTGCAAGTGTGAACTATAATGATATGGTAGGAACCCTTCACCCATAATTTAACCCCACACACATCTCTCCCACTTGTTCTCAGCGTATTTACTACTTCCATATTCACACATACACGGCAACTAGGGCTGGACATTTTATCCGTTATATTTGATTGGATCCGTTATTCGTTTCGATTCGATCCGAAAATTCCGGATATCCGTAAACTTTCGAATCAAAGCAAATACTAAAATTCAATATCCGTTAAAATCGAAGCAAATCACAAATATTAAAATTTTGGAAAGCGGATATCCGATCCGTTTCATAAATATATAAATATATGTATATTTTGATTATATTTAAAATTTTAATTGTATAAAATTATATAATTATTAATTTAGCATATGATTTTGAACAATTCTATTCAAATTATTAT